TTTTGCGCCCTTTTTTTTTTTTTTTTTTTTTTTTGCACAGTTGAATTGGCATCATGCATTTGGGCATGACCTTGAAAACAAAAGTCCTGAACATAAATGCAGTACATCACTTTCATCACTGATTTAAAGCACTAGTTAGTCAAGCTATACAGAGCAGGTACGGCATAGCCAGACACAATGCTGACATGCTACCACACCTTAAGTTGAACAATGGCAACACATTTGAAGTGATCATAAACGGATGATAGGGTTAATGTCAAGCTCCTTATTTAAAAGATGAGTAATCACACATTAAAAGACTCAGCAATATTTTTACATCACCCCAAGTGTTCTGGGAACTTTATTAAAAAAACAATTACAAGGAATGGCACTAATGCAATTACACTTTATGATCATGGCTTTACAGATACGAATGTCAGAAACCATGACCCTGGCTATGTTGTAAACATGCATGCAAACACTATTGAGTGTAGTTCTGCCTTGAAAAGTATCTATTGAAAAAGTTGTTTTACTCAATAGCTCACTTCCTTGTGCAGTCTCCGCCGTTTAGTCTGTGACTAAATGATTTCACTGGTCTGTCCCCGAGAGAGAAAGCTGAATTCTAGCCCATGCACATTGCCACTAGAATTGTTTATAGAATTCCAATTACAAGGATAATCTGCTATACTTAAACCATCCCAGCAAAAGCTCCTGGATTGTATAATTTGGCCTCCAAAACACACAATGTGTGAGAAGGAAAGTATCCAGCCTGACACTTAGATTTTAGGTTCAGTTAGTAGTGCTGGCAGTTAGGAGAAAACACCAATCTAACTTGTAAGTGCAGTGACTCTCAATCAGGATGCTGTGGTACCCTGAGGGGTGCTCTGAGAGCCTTTCAAGGGTGCCACAGGGTGTCATACAAAGTTAGCACTGCAAAGTGTGAAACACGATAAACCTGGATGAAAACAAACTGGAAAGTGATAAAACCAGATAATGATATACCAAGCTAAACCCAGGGTTTCCGAATAGGAAACCATAATCTCAAAAACATTCTGACCTGCTGTGATCTTTCTTGAATTCTCTGCAACAGAATAATTACTTTATTATTTTTCTGTAGTTAAAAATAAATCGGGAGTAAAAACTGAGAGTTGGCATTTTCCGAGGATGCCTCGAGTCTGTCAAAGGGTGCCCTGGCTTCTACAAAGGTTGAGTGCCACCGTGTAAATGACACAGCCGAGATATTTCTGGAGTCACTTTCTGAGTGGAACTGTACCTAACAGACAAGGTTTATAATAATAACAACATCTAATTAAAAAAAAAAAAAAAAAGACTGTGCCACATGTAAAATGGGTGACTTATGGGTGGTTCAGAGAATTGTGTATTTGAATTCACTCGCACTGAATGCATAAGAAAAACAGCCACAAATGCACTGAGTGCTGACTGTTGCTTTCTATTCCATTTGTTGTTCTCCCTTCAGTTTAATTGCCTTTGCAGGCATACTTACTGATGATTCCTTTCCATAAATTGTATTTTAATAACCCAAATAATTGCCTCCTTTTCCCCAGGCAGATTATCTTCACAGAGGACAGCACCATTGGTATCTTCCCTTGCCCTTCAAATTTGTATTCATTTTCCTATCATGTTACTCAGATAGAAATGGTAAAAGGGTGGGCCAAACTGAATGATGCCTGAGGACTCTGAATGAAAAAGCTGCCCTGCGACTGAAACAATGCCGAAAACTCTATTAATTTCACTTTAGCCATCTTTTTAAATGTGACAAAATCTGCCCGTAAAGCAGATTTATTGTTTGATAAAACTAAGTTAATCACTTGAGAGGGAAAAACAGAAAAGAAAAATCAGCAGCAGACGACTCAAGGAATGCTAGGTACAGAGAAGGTCCTTTAAGGACAAATTTAATGGACTCAATTTTCTACACAGTGTCTACAGTAGATATATATTGATAGGCACATTAGAAAAAGCTAAAATAGAGAGATCACACTTTTCACCTAAAATTCTTTTTGTCCTCATACCTTCTATTTCATTTTTAAAACAAAAAGTCTATTAAGTGTTTTAATGTGTGTGTGAATTTACTGCTTGAGCAGAGTGCTGGACTGAGGGGAAGAAAGCTTTTCTTTAGCACCAGCTCGGATGGCTGCTGTGTATGTTTCTGGTGATACACTGCCAGTAACTAACCAAACTGAAGAGGGCACTCCTAGTGAAGAGAGGGCAATTCATGCTTAGCCTTTTCTGCCAAGGGCAGCAGTCAATGCTATTTATAGGGTGGTTTGTGTGATACAGACACTTCTGAAAACTGTTGAGAGACCACCAATCTTATTTCTCACAGGCCAATTATTGGGCTCTAAGTTGCTTGGTGCAAGGAGGGTCTGTTTCCCATTCTGCACTCCAGCATAGCTGGTACTCAGTAAAACAGCATAGCAGAAAGTTTCAGGCACTGTTTCCCTAAAGCAAGGTTGAAGAGATGTATGTGCAAATCAACATCTTAAGAACAGGCTACTTAGCATCTCTCTTGTGCATCCCATAAAGGTGTTCAGTGCAGTGGTTGAATCCTTCTGCTTAGTGAACAAGAAACTTTCTGGAGAATAGTTATCACTCCATGGCCTCTTGTGGGCTAAGATCAAGTATAGTAGTCAGGGTTTTGTATTCAGAAGAATATCTACCTCAGGCAAACAGTTATCTGGGGTAATTTAGACAAGGACAATCCTGCCTTAAGCAGAGAGCCAGATTAGATCCCTAAAGCCTTTCTTCCAATCCTGTTTTTTCTATGATTCTTCCGGTGTCTAGCACTAGTCAGTAGAAGTAGTGGGGTGCACAGCCGGACAGACACTATGCCAGTGGCTGTACTCCCTGGAGCCTGTGAAGGCACTGTCTCTAGAGAGTTTGCTCTCTGCAGGGCACACCTTTCCAAACATCACCTTTGACATGAAGGTGTAGTACATGTTGCAGTTCAGCCTAGAAGAGACAATGTGAAAAATACCTAAACTTTACAGACACGTGTCCCCTAAGCAATATGTAAATCCTGACTGGTGTGTTCTCCAACACATTAGGCATTTGTGTGTGCACATTTACTCAGCAGTTACCAAAATGACTACACAGTATGGGCACATTTCTACACATGTTCTCCCCTAGTGCACAGTAAATAGGGTGACTTATGCCAACTTGGGAGTAAATTTGATACCTGCAGCAAGCAGGTATCAAATTTATGCCTGATTAGATACTGCTCAATAATGCACATATGGATGGGTGCCTTACTGCACAGTAACACTGTGAGTGACGGCTAACTTGGGACTAATTTTAGTCCCAAGCCAGTCCACACACAGTGTTAATGCACTTTAACACCTGCATATGTAGATGCCAGCCTATTCCCACTTACTGCACAGTAAATTATTGTGCAATAACTTTAAGTCAGCATAAATGCATGTGTAGACACATCTGCTATATTGGAGATGTGACTATAAACAATTCTTGATGACTTCAGAGATTTACATCTAAGACTATTCACTGCATGTATACCTAATCTTTATTTGTCATATAGGGCACAATCCAAAAGCATACAGGGAAAGCACCTTCAGAAATCTCTCATCTGACACTTGTACATGAACAGATTTGTTCTTTCTGTCGCTCAACACAGGTAAGATATAAGAACAAAACCCACTCGGCATACATTCATCAACAGATATCTAACATGAAAAAAAATCGATGTCACAATAGAATTTACAAGACATAAATGATAATACTAATTTCCAAGTGTTTGAAATCATTGACTACAATAATACAATTTATAACAATTTTTAATCCCTGATGCCAAAGTAAATTTTCCATTATGCAAAGACTCAGTTTACTGAAAGCATTGGAAGCCTCCTTCAATGGGGTTTAAAAGACAATCTTGCAAGGTCTATGAATACTATTTAATAAACATGGGGAAGTCAAGCTTTAAACATTCTGGCTTCCTTTTCTCTATATAGATTCAGTGACGTCATCATTAGCCATATTTTTGCATCCCATTCTAATGACTCATAGAATCCCAGGCCTAGAATTGCCCTTGGAAAAAGGGCTAATGTAAAGGTTTTCATTTGACAGACAAAAGTCACTATTTTTCTACAGTCTTGTTATATCTGTTGAGAACATTCAATGTTATGGGAGAAGTTCGCAGAGTGACTTAAGTTTTTATTGATAAAATGACACCTGAAATAAAGTTCTTCATACTGTCTAGACCTTCATTCTAGTGAGATGATAAATATTTCTAAGATTTACTTAGAGGTATAAAATCTGCCAGTGTTACAATTTGTAATTAGTTTTAAAGTTCCTGCCAATGTCTTTAGGGTTTCCCCTCTTGTTTTTTGAATGCAGGGAATGAAATATTGCTCAGAAACAGGATTAAAATATGTTTAAAAAAGCCACAGTATAAAATTATTTAATGGTATACCCATTTGTCAGGCTCTCACAGAAAGAAGGGAAGATGACCAACATCAAAAGAACATCTAGATACGAGGTTTTCAACACTATTTTTCACTACAAACAGACAAAATGCACAAAAAAAGAAACTTTGATGACACCAATTTTCATTCAAGGTTGCAGTCAGTGCAATCATCTTGGTTGCTCAGAAACCTAAAAGATGTGTTTCATGTGCTTGATTCCATATGTTTTAAAGAAAACCATGATAATCAATGCCCAGAGTCCTAGAATAAAACCTCCAGGAGGATGCCAGTCTTTCTGTTTTGGTTTCTGTAAAATAAGAATAAAATAATTATGATGTGTCATGTTAAATCTTCATTAAATTTATGCACGGGGGTGGGGAAATCATGGCATTATTAAAAAAAAAAAAGACAAGAAGCACCTCTTCACAAAGCCAATACCCAACAAAGTCAAATGCTCATCTTTTGAATGGGTCTAAATGTACATGGGGTGGGGAAAATAATTACACAGCCAAAAGGAGGATGGGAGTATATTATACTATGTGAGAGTAATTTTCACTGTAAACCTCAATTTTCTTGTTTATGTAACTCTTCAGAAGAACAGTCTTCCCACATTTGCCTAAAGACAATTTCTCAGGCAAAACATGACATTTTATTGGAAAAAGTTGGCAAAATATTGTTGAATTTTTTTTAAGTAGTCAACTATTCCGAAGTGTGAAAGTTAAAAAGAAGGTTGGCTTTTTTAGTATCCAAGAAATTCACAGATGCTCATTCTGTTTTGAATTATTAATACTTAGTTATTACGATATATAAATGATAAGTATGTTTTAATGAATCTTATAACACACAATAAGATTACATACAACCCATAAGTTTTTCCAGAATTTATGCTGCAATGCTTCAAAGTGCCTTTGCTTGACTGAGCCATTGTGAACTTGGCCATTCTGGAAATATCTCCCGTTGTTCTACTTCTTTGCCCTCAATCTTTTTATCTGCAGCCAAGTGAAATGCATCAAGATCTGCTAGGCCCCTTAGGTAAAATAAAACTCCTATCCCTTCTGCTGTCTCCCCAGCTCCACACCACTTTTAAATCTTGCATATTCAGTGCGAAATGAATTCTGGAGGGCATAGTCACTGAGTGCCCAAAAGAGAACTTTAACATCTCCGGCAGACGCAATTAAAAGCTATGCAAATGCAACATTTTTGTTGAAAACATAAATTGAAGACAAGGAAATCAAAGCTTCCATTCTTAGAAGAAGCATAACTCAGCTCCTATTTCACAAAACAGGAGTAGATTTAACATTGTACACGGTAACGCACACACACACACAAGCAAGGAGTTACAGTTGCTAAAACAAAAAAAATAAAGGCATGCAGCTAAAATTAGTATGAAAGAAGGGGTCAAATTTATGTATAGCTCATCTGGGCCAAATACGCAAGTCCTTACTTACTTTTGTACTCATTTCCTACTGAAACTCTACTTGTTTTGCTCTCCTACACCTTTGTGTAAAAACAGCCTACAGGGCCATTTTGCTTTTTGTAGTGGTTCAGTCAAATTCAAACAAAGTTGTACCATGGTCAAGCGGACAAATATTATGAAGACAGAATACTGTACAGATACAACTTCTCCACAAAACTAGTTAAGGGAAGCTTCCCTTTTTCAACGAAACGTACCAGGTGGCTAAGGAACTTTAAAGCAATAGGAGCAGTTTGCAGCATCTGTTCTGCTGTTCAGCTTTCCTGTCAACAAAAAAACGATGCTTTTGGATTTCTCAGCCTCCATATTTTGGGACACGCTAGATAGATTTTCCTAACTAGAGAAAGTTTCTTGATAAGTACAATACTTAATTTTTAAAAACACAGCGGACAAAGGACTTGAAAAAACAAACAAAAATAACAGTAACAATTCCATGAAACATTACTGAATTTATTTTCCCTGCTGGGAAAAGGAAAGAACTAGGATTATAATTTACATTAATAACAACAAAGCTGAAGATTTTAACAGAGAAGTATATACACCATTAAATTTCCTAAGAAACTGTCATTAACATAAAATGTATGCAATGTTGACAATTCACCACTTCATTGATATTCACAACCACACACCTCCATGTAAACATCTCAGGAAATCAACTCTAAATGTGCAAAGCTGCCAACATACCTCAGTTCTCAGAGTAACGGCTCTCCACACAAAGGAACTTTCTCGTTTAAATTCTCCTAATTAACCCACAACTTCGTATGCATATTGCAGTGCTCGTTTCATCAATCTCTTTGTACTATCAATCTTTCTTTTCTTGGATCTGAGACAAATCCTTACCACAAAGTGGCACCTGACCCTTCTAGACAAATGACTTCAATTTGCAGTCAGTGACACTAAAAGCCTCTCTCTTCTATTTTGTATAGAACACATAATTTAATTTCTTTAAAGAATTTATATGAATAAATATTTATAAGGTGATCTATGAGTATGGTTTTACATTTTGTCATACTGTATATGGAAGCCTCCTCCATGAAATTCCATGAGAAAACGGAGTCTGCTACAGTAATGCTTTTATATTTTAATTCAAGGACGCACAAATAGCCTATGTAAAGCCATGGACTGCAGGTTTAAAATGTACTGGATATATTATTGATGAAAAGACTAAAGCAGAAAAAAGAAAAGTGAAGCTACATGCTCACTTATCTCAAAAATAAGTGTAACCTGATGAAGGGAATTGCAGACTGAAAACTACACAAGGGCTACTGAGCCAGCACCACCTTCAGTACAACCAGCCTAAAAGTGATGGACAGTGGAAATCACTTAAGATACCCATGGATAAGGTTGGCAGACATTTACGTTATGCAAATGGTATCAGCCATTTGCCAAGTCCCATTGATATCAATACTGAAGACTTAAGCCAATTTATGCACAGCTGCTAATTTATACCTACAGCTGTCAACACCTCATTAAGGCCCATTACAGTATTACTTGCATGTCCTTTGCCTTTAATAAAAGCACTGAAAAGTGACAGCATATACTCAACTTTCAGGGCTACCAGTAGCATAGAAGAGAGAATAGGATGGGCTGGAAAATTAACCATCTACCTGGAAGACTTACAAAAAACTCGTATTCTTGTCTCAGACCACCACAGCTACCAAGTACACCCCTAACCAGCTACCTGGCACTTTAGGCAATTTTCTGTTTGCCAAACAAGCCGAACATATGAGACTTAGACTGTGTTGTAGATCAAACCAAGAACCCAGAGCCACCCACCCCAAAAAGATTTACATTAATTTTCTAACCCTAAATCTAAACCTCAAAAAAAAGTTTATCACTGCTTTAAAATGTGATAGATATCTACTTCCCTAAGTTATTGACCAACATGATCTTGGGTCCTTCTGGGCTGAAATTCTTGCCCCAAAGTCGTCAATGCAATTTTGCCAACAACGTTAACAGGGTTATTTCACTGCTGGTTTCTGTGTCAAAAAGTGAGAGAGAACAAAGGGGTTTAGATAGGAGAGGTTCTTGAGTGGATTTTAATTTAAAGATCAGTTTCATGTAAATTAGGGGCCTAAACTTCAGTAATATTTTAGCAGGTTTAAAAACTCTAATAAAGATGCATCAAACCCATTTCTAATGCTGTTCAACGCTATGTATTACTGAGGGATATACTATGCATGTGTTTGAATGCATTTTGATTTCAATATATGTACCCTTGTATTAAAGTTGAGAGCAAGCAGAAAAAATACCCCAGGGAGAACACCCACAAGATTCAAACTAAATGGAAACAAATTAAAAAACCCTTAGAAAATGTTAGTCATATCAAACCCTGATATAACTAGCAGATTATTCCCACTAATGCCTATTCATAAAAGTAACCATTTTTATTCAGAGAAACTGTCTCTCTCCCCCAACATACTATGTTCACACAGATCTCTCTCACAATACATGAAAGCTGCATACTAAGAATTCAGCTATAATTTGCCTATAAAAATTGCAAACAATCAATTTATGTACTAAAAATAATGATACAGAAAGAAGTTAATACGGTACAGCTTACAGGGAAAACTTTTTCTTCTGTTTTGTTTGTTTCATTTTTTCTTTAAAACACAAAACACCAAGTACTTCGGGGCACTGGCACAAAAACCTATAATCTCCACTTTTCAGATGTCAGGGATTTGAATAATTATGTGAATGTTACAGTAATCAATATGTTAAGTGCTGGAAAACATGCTGCTTAATTTCAGTCATAAATGCTATAATATCTTAAGTGAATTGGGAGAAAGAGGAGTCAGAAATTATTTGCATATGGCAAACAGGTGTACAGGGAGGAGTGGATAATTAGATGTCCCACTGCCAAAAAGCCACATTTTAATCTTTTTTACCAAGAACATGTCTGCAGAGTCTCTCCTGACCTAGTTACACCAGTAAAACCCCCCAAATGGAAACACAGGACATGCCAGCATGGAAGGCGGGGAGTGTCTGCTGATACAACACCATTTCCCCACATAAACAATACTTCCCTGAAAAGGGAATTTAATCTGTCAGAACAGTTGAATCAATACCAAGGCTTTAGCTCGTGCAGACAAAACCATAGGGTTGGAAGGGATCTCAAGAGGTCAGCTAGTCCAACGCCCTGCTAGAGCAATACCATCCCCAACTATATTATCCCAGTCAAGGCTTTGTCTACCTACGTCTTAAAAACCTCCAAGGATGGAGATTCCACAACCTCTCCAGGCTACCTGCTCCAGTGTTTTACTACCATCCTAGCGAGAAAGTTTTTTCCTAATGTCTAACCTAAACTTCCCTTGCTGCAACTTGAGACCCCTGCTCCTTGTTCTGTCATTTGCCACCACTGAGAGCAGTCCAGCTCCATCTTCTTTGAAACCACTCTTCAAGTAGTTGAAGGCTGTTTGTTAATAAATCCCCTCCTCAGTCTTCTCTTCTCCAGACTCAATAACTCCAGTCCCCTCAGCTGCTCCTCATAAGTTATGTTTCCAGCCTTCTGACCATTTTTGTTGTTCTCTCCTGGACTGCGGCGGGAAAGTCATGATCCCCAGCCCTCTCACCAACTGGTCCACATCTCTTCTGTAGTGGGGAACCAAAAACTGGACATAGCACTCCAGATGTCACCTCACCCATAGGCAACTGGTAGGAGGGAGATGGGGGTACTTGCAGTCTCTGACATGGCTGTCCCCGCTTCTGACAGCTTCTGTGGGTGCTCGCCATCCCCATCCCTGCTGCTGACACTGGCTTCTGTGGGTGCCCCACAAGACTCAGGAGGCATCAGTTGCCCATGATCTCACCCGTGCCAAATAGAGGGGAATCAC